TAAAATCTAATTAGTTTTATTTTGACAGATGATGTACAAATAAAATGTAATACAAATAAAAAAGAAGTATATTTGTTAGGAAATGCATATCAAAGAACATAAAAACACAACGGTACTCAAAGCAGTTAAAAAATAATGAAAGCAAAAGGAAAGAGACAAGGACATGAAAAAGTTTGACATTTATTTTTTGACATTTGACATTTTTTTATGTCTATTTAATAATGCTGATGATCTTGTATATGTTTTTTTTTACAATTATTTAGTAATGGTACAAAAATTTTGCCAATAAAAGCCACAAATAACATTGAACAGAGTTACAACTTAGGATACAGCTTCCTTGATTCCTCTTCTTATAGCCTGTAGCAAAAAAACTTGGAAAATTATTTTTCCAACAGAAATAAATAGAGTCAAAGTGCAAAATTTAAACTCCCATAACTTCGAAATTTTTATAGATAATTTTTTTTTAACATTGTTTCTATGTTCCTGGTATCTTATATTATATGGCATTTTTCTCTGAAGCGCGAATTTTGGCGCAGCCTGTATAAATACAAAAATTTATTAGTTACAGAATCCATACCAAAGAAGATAAATAAGAACGGTATTCAAAATAATGAAAAACTAATGCTTTGCTTAAGGAAATTGTCCTTTTTGTTACATTTATCTACTTTGCTTCAAAAATTCCTGAACTGCTTGATTTACCGTAATAAAATAATTTTGGCAAACCATAACTGCGAAGCGTGCGAATCAAAAATTCTGTTAATTATTGTGTAACGTTGCTAATGACCAATTATCGCAAATTCGGTGTTTCGAATGCATTTAAATGTAAAATGCATCATCAGTGTAGCGCGTCCTCTCTTTAAAGTGTGAATCTCGTTACAGTTAATGAAAAATTAATGAAAAAATTAGAGCGGTGATAGTAGGTACAGCAGCAGTACCAGCACTTGTTCCTTATGTTCAGTGAGATTATCGAATTATATCCCCGTCACTTCTCCACAATACCTTCTTGCTCCACTAACTCCATTCATCTATCGATGGTCACTACATTAAAGAATAGGATGCAACGCTTTTTCTCACTAGAGATGGTAGAACTATATAAACCACTCTATTTCGGATTTGCAACATCAGTTCTTCACCATCATGTCTCCTCTTCGGTCACTACCCATCCTCGTGGTTTTCATTACCATCGCTCGAGGTGAAAAAATAAGTGACAAAAGTGAACATAAGAAGTCGATATCCAGGGATTGCGCCAATTCGTACACCACAACGTGTCTCAAACTCGATATTGTCTCATGGGTGGACAAGCTCAACGAGCAGGACGACTACAGGTCAGTTTGTTTTTCATTATTTCCCTCATTTTCACCAAAAAAATAATATTGATTTAATTACCAATTTAATGCTTTTTTCTACATACCAGGTGAATAAAAAGTATGGAACCAAACGTTTTTTGCTTAAACATTTTTTTTGGAAGAAGTAATTGATGAATGATAAAGTACTATAAAAATGTGATGTTTTGTGAAGAATAATATTTTTCGAATTTTTTTGTTTCTTTTGGAGTTCTACAAAAATTCTAATTTTTTTAAATGTCAACCCACTACAAAACCATTTTTCTCATAAAGATTATGATCTAAGGATTACAACTATCTACTTTATATTTAATTTAAAAAAATAAATAAATTGCATTTGACAAAATATCGCATAACTCAAAAACAAAAGAAAATTTCGTTCTCAAAATACGATAACATTTTTTATATTACTTTAATTTATATTAATTATTATTTTCTGGAGGCAAATGATTAAAAAAAAACGATTTGTTTCGTACTTTATTCACCCTGTTCATAATTAAAAAAAAAACATATTAAAAACGAGTTAAAGGTTAAATTGGAATACTATTTTTCTCTAGGACTACTTCCAAAATGTTTGAATCTACGAATGCATTTTTTAATTTATAATTTTGAAATACCTTAAAATGTGTGTTTTTTCAAAATGTGTTGTGTTATCAACTATAATCATCAAAATAAATTTTGAAACTAATGATAATGTGAATGACTGACTGGAGACAAAACTGGTTAATAAAAAAATTATTTCTTCGAAATTGAAAAATTTCTCTTTCATTTTAAAAAACTGCACATTTCTTGTCTATATCGATTAGAAAGGTGTTTTATGTTTTATATAAACTAAGCCTGTTTCATATTTTTCACAAAAACTTTATAACATTTTATAATGTTAGAAAACTAATAATTTATTGAAAGCAGAATTTTTAAATGCTTATCAGACAAAATCAGCAACCGATTTTAATTTTGACAATTTAAAATACGAAATTTTGACGAGTTTCACTAATCCATTATTTTAAAAATTTACAGTTAATTGACAGTTGTTTTCCTATTTTAGTATTTCAAAAAATTTGCTTTTCGTATAAATATTTATAAAAATGATAAATTTCTACAGTGGCAATCACAAAAATTACAGACTTAAAAATTGAGTTTTATAGAAATCATGATTTTTCAATATTTTCTATAAAAATTGTTAGAAATTTTGATATGTAATTATTCGAATAGATCCACAGCCATTGATAAACGCCCAGTATGTTAAATTACATATCTCGCTATTATCTGTAGTTCATCATGTAATTGTTTTATACATTATTAAAAAAATATATCCAAAATTTAATTATAAATAAACTTAATTGTTGTTGTTGTTGTTTAAAATTGTTGTACTTTTATTTCTTATATATTTAATTATGAACAAATGATTGTTATATTTTTAATAATTTTGATGTGTTAACAGATTGTTATTTGAAAATTTCAAATAAGTATTTTTTTTTATTTCTGTTTTAAAAACCCTTTATACCTACTTACCTACTCCAAATTCTGTTAGAATAAGTAAACAAAATGTAAGACAAAACATTAGTAATAAAAATGGGATAGTAATAAAAAAAAATAGTTAGACAAACAATTGTGATTTTGCTGTTTTGTCTTGGCTTTTACTTGATGTTAATAATAGTTTAAAAATGGAAAATGTACTAATCGACAGTTTTTAGATAATTTTGATTTTATTTTTTATTCTTTTGCCAAGTATGAGATACTAATTTCTAGATTTTTACAGTTTTTTTAAATTCCTGTTTCATTTTAATTTTAATTATTTAAACAATAATACTAGAAGAAAGTTGTAGAAAATTTTTATAAGTTTTCACCTGAGGTATGATAAAAAAGTTTTTATAAGTTAATCGAATAAGAAAAATATTTTATAAACTTCTCCTGTTTTCTATGCTTCTTTATACTATTTATATTATTTTTTATTTTAAAAAAGTTGAAACAGGTCTACTTAAAAGATGAGCTTGCAAAATAATATTGTTTAAAAATGGTCGAAAACTGAGAAAAAAATTGAATATGATGAAATAGTTGTCGGTGTATAATAGAGGAAGGAATTTATCGAAAAAATAATAATAATTTTATAAATTAGTATTTTTATTTCATACAAATACAGGGTGTTTTCTTAATACATTGAGAAATAACACTATTTGGTAAATAGACCTATAAAGCTTAATTACGAATATACAGAGTGATAAAGTTTCATGATAAAAATTAAAATCCATTAGTTTTTCTGAAACCACTTGAGTGATTTTTTTGTACAGGCTTTGTGAGCCTTTGAAAACGTTTATTTTCCGGCAATTACTTTATTTTTAAGAGACCAGTGGCGTGCTACGGGCACATCATTGGATACTTTTATTTTTGTTTTATATTTTTACTAATATTAGTTTTTTATGTAGTGGTTGCAATTTTTTGCTATATTAATACACCTTGTATATTTTTTTCTTTTAATATGTCGATAAACAGATCAATATTTTATCAAAAATATTTCCTTATATTAACAGAAAAAATTTTTTGTGTGATTTATTAAAAAATGAAAAAGTTTGTTGCCACAGTTGGCGTAAGAAAAGTAAAAAAATCCCTTTTCCGTTTTTTTCCAGCGTCCTCCCTGGCGTCTCCGTCATCCGCGAGAACCCCAACGGCACCAACCCCAACACCGCCGACATCGTCGCCGAACTCGCCCGTGACTTCCCCAACGACCCCGACGCCCGTCTCGACGCCTTCCTCATGAAAAAACTCACCGGCTACTTAAACTCGCACTCGGTGCGTCTCAACCTCTTCGACGGTAAGTCGGAGGTCACCGCTCGAGGAGGCGGTGGTGGCGGCGGCGGCGGAGGCGGCAAAAAGGGCGGCGGCGGCGGTATGGGGGCCATTCTCGCCGCCGGTGCCATGATGAAAGGAACTCTGTTTGCCCTGGCGTTGGGAGGGCTGGCGGCGCTCGCAGGCAAAGCCTTGATGACGGCCTTGATCTCATTGGTGTTGTCCGCGGTTATCGGACTCAAATCGCTGACTCATGGAGGAGGCAAATCGACAACTTACGAGGTTATAGCCAAACCGATTTACACGCATGCCAACACGCATTCGGTCTCGCACGAGGAGCATGGTGGAGGAGGGCATTATGGGCACTCGGGGTACGGGAGGAGTCTAGACATGCCGCTGCCTTTGGGGTTACAACCGGGTTATAAGCCCCAATAAGTCCACTAACCGATTTTTATTTATGCTATTTATGATGTTGGTTCGACTTTTTATTTATTTCGTTTCCTCGTGATTATTTATTTGTCTTTGTGTAAATAAATAAACTTTAATTCTCATTTAATTTTTTGTCTCATTTTCAATTCCCTATTTCTTTTTCACATTATTTTGCCAATGACAAGTTTCTGTGATCACGTGATCTTAAATTGTACACCCATTCGCTCTTTTGAGTCACGTGACTGCGTAGAGACAGTCACAGTAAAAAATTGAATTTGAAATAGTGATTTCTAGGATCATTAATTTCAATAATTCGAAACACCATTTCAACAAAACGCATAGTTTAGTTTATTCGTTTTTGGTCATGTCAACTAATGACTCCTAATTAATTAATTTTAATTAAAAGTTGAAACAAATTTTTTGTGTAAACTTCTATTAGAATTATTTGTTCTCTTTTATTATTTTTACTCTCTTTGTTTTCATTTTGGTTTCTTTAATTCTTTCTTCATAATTGACCAAATTTTATGTGACGGCAAAATTTAAAACTTTAAAAGATAAAATTTCAAATTTAGGTACAATAGAATACTTTAATATGGATCCAATTAAAAAAAAAAAAGAAATACAAGTTAGTAAAGTACTATTTTTAATTCACAAACTAAAATACATACCAGGTGAATAAAAAGTATGGAACTAAACGTTTTTTGCTTAAACTATTTAAAATTTGAAAAAACTAATTGATGAATGATAAAGTTTTAAAAAAAGGTGATGTTTTATAAAAAATATTTTTTTTTCGAAATTTTCGTTTGTTTTCAAGTTGTACAAAATTATTTATTTTTTAAATGACAACTCACTATAAAAACCATTTTTCTCATGAAGGTTATGTATGATATAAGAATTACAACTAAATACTTTATATTTCATTTTTAATTTTTTTACATAAATTGCAATTTTAACAAAAAAAATGTATCTCTAAAAGAAAACAAAATTTCGTTCTAAAAATACGATCACATTTTTTATATTACTTTAATTTATATTAATTATTATTTTCTGGAGCCAAATGATTAAAAATAAAACCGCTTGGTTCCATAATTCATATTCACCCTGTAGATAGAAACTTTCCACATTATTTATTTGCGTTTTTTATTTGATAATTACTAAGTTTTTAAGATCACGTGATCCTAAATTGTAAACACCCATTCGCTGTTTTGAGTCACGTGACTGCGTAGTTGCAGTAGGTAGGTACAGTTAGAGTAAAAAATGTTTGTCAATTTTCAAGCAAGCTTTGCTCCACTGTACTAAAATAGTGGTTTCTACGATTATTAGGTATCGTACTAAATAAAACAATAATAATTTGAAACACTATTTCAACAAAACGCTTAAATAAAATTACTTCTAAGTAGTCAATTTTAATTCAGAGCATTTTTTTTTGTGTAAATATGTACTGAAATAAAGTTTCCCATGGAAATTTTTCTATTTTGCGTCTCAAAGAAAGCTTATTTCACCACCAATTGGGTGCTGAAGCAGACTATTACAACAAGTTACTTTATAGAGGTTAGTAATGGTGATTTTCAGCGGTGTTTTAAGCGATTTCGTTTATTTCAGGTGGTGTGCATGAAATATTTGCAGTATTCATTGTTAATTCAACAAAATTTTGACACTTTAAAAATCGAATTTTTGAAACTTTCTGACATTTAAAACCAACCACCATCTTATTAAGACAAAAGTTGAAAAATTGACTTTTAAGGTAAAATCTACTTTAATATACTATTTTGTTTTTTAAATTTATGTATCTCTTTATTACATTCTTTGTATTTTTTTGATAATTAAAAAATTTGATTTCAATCAATTACTATTTCATTTAATATACAGAGTGTGCCAGAACTCGCGCCCCAGAGAAAAATGCCATGTAAGGTACGATAACAGGAACATGAAAAAAATGTTAAAATAATTCTATCTATAAAAATTTCGAAGTTATGAGAGTTCAAAATTTGCACTTTGACTCTATTTATTTCTGTTGTAAAAATAATTTTTCAAGTTTTTATGCTATAGGCTATTAGAAGAGGAAACAAAGAAGCTGTATCCTAAATTGTAACTCTGGTTAATGTTATTTGTGGCTTTTATGGGCAAAACTTTTGTACCTTTACTAAATAATTATAAAAAAACATATACAAGATCATCAGTATCTTTAAATAAACATAAAAAAATGTCAAATGTCAAAAAATAAATGTCAAAATTTTTTAACAGAGAATTTTTTAAACATTTTTTTCGTGTTCCTGGTATTGTATCTTACATGACATTTTTCTCTGAGGCGCGAGTCCTGACGCACCCTGTATAGGTAAAAAATGATTCAAAAAAACATTTATAAATGTATAAATAAAATGACACTTAAATAATAATTAAGAGAAATTAAGAGAAAACTATTTTTTTGTGTAAACACCTAATAGTACAAGTACATTATTTTATTAGGATTAAAAGTGTAAGTTTTTTGGAGAGCAAATTTCCGAGACAAAAAACTCACTTTTAAGCCGAATAAAACATACTATTTTTTCAAGCCAACAAAAATTTACGCAAAATTATTTGAATAAAAGTGAAAAATAAAAAATTATTTTGTTTTGAAACCTACGATTAAATTGAAATAAAAAAATATTTATTTTTAATTCATTTTAGTCTGGGATTAGAAGTATGGCCATGGCAACAATATTTTTCCTATTAAAAAAAAATATCTTTTAAAAATGACATTGAAAATGCCGTGTTTAAATCCGGCTGGAAAAAAGTTAACTTTTTAATAGAATTTTATGTTATTTATTATTTCCTGTTTTTGTTCAATATTTTTTGTTTATTTTTTCGACGATTAAGAAGTTTTTAAAACCACGTAATCTCAAACTACACATCCAACATACCAAGTGAATAAAAAGTTTAGAACCAAACGTTTTTTGGAAACTATTTATTTTTTAGAAAAACCAATTGATAAATGATAAAGTACTATAAAAATGTGATGTTTTATCAAGAATAATATTTTGAGAATCTTTTTTCCCTTTTTGAGTTCTACAAAAAAAAAATTTAAATGGCAACCCACTATAAAACCATTTTTTCTCATGAAAGTTATGATCTAAGAATTACAACTATGTACTTTTTATTTAATTTTTCAAAAATTTTTTTTACATAAATTGTAACAAGAAAATCGCATAACCCAAAAACAAACAAAAAATTCGTTCTCAAAATTCGATCACATTTTTTATATTATTTTAATTTATGTTAATTATTATTTTCTAGAGGCAAATGAATAAAGAAAAGCTTGGTTTCATACTTTATATTCACCCTGTATATACGCTCTTTCTTTCTTTGCTCTAGGATTTTTCGCTTTCTTTTCTTTCTTGAATATTATTTGTGGTTCTGAAAAGGTTTTGCTCTAGGATTTTTCGCTTTCTTTTCCTTTTTTTTAAGTGCAGGAAAATAAGACTCGTATTAAAATTTGCTGATTTTATTAAGAAAAAATAAATAATAATAAATAAGATGTGACAATTTTAAATGTTACGAATTGTCCTCGCTGTTGCTCTCATTTTGCGAGACATTGATGGACCTGGCATAGGGATTCTGGGCACTACTCCACCCGCCCAAACTGTTGGTGCCAAAGTTGGTACCAAAATTGGTACCATAAGTGGTAGGTACTCCGTAAGTCGGCGGAATATTAAAAGTACCACCTCCATGATTGAAAAAAGGGAAAGACTGAAAAAATAAATTAAAAGAATTAAAAAAAATCTAGTTCGACTATTTACCCTCCCGCTGAAGAACACTTGAACAAATAAAATAATAGAGATGACGAAGGCTAATTTCCCGACTATGAGAGCCTTCGTTGTTAGGAGAACAAGGCCTCCGAACATAATTGGGATCATGGACATCATCCTGGTTCCAAGGCCGAGGATCAAAGATCCCATTGTTTTCTTCACTTTCCCGCGGGCTTCCTCAAAGGACCTGGCAAGGTTTTGAGGGACTTGCAGTGGCAATTTGATCTGTAAAACTCTGGAATTGAGGAAACGCGAAGCTTGGGTCAAAACTAAATCGAAGAGTTCGGACGTTGAATTGGCCGATTGGACGGAAAATTCGAGTTTTTTCGCGCTTCTTGCCGAGTAAGTCCCATTCCTGGATTAGTAAATTTCAGTTTTGGTCAAAATTGTGGAAAAATTACCTCTGGAGCGCAATTCCTGGTATTATTTCCAACCCATCTTGTCTTTCGGCGATTTCAAAGGTCTTCAAAGCGCGCACTGTTGCACATTTGGCGATTTGGTCGAAATTTTCCCTCCACGAACATAATTCACAATTCACAGTGGTTGAAAGTAAAATGAAAAGTAAGACTCGAGAGTGCATTTTCGGTAGAGTCGAGGAAATGAATACCAAAAGTGGAAAACTGGGACCGTTTTATAGTGATGGGTTTTGTTGGTTTTAGATAATGTGACATTATGCGAAACTAGGTTTTTATTTTAAGTAAGTATTAACACTGGCCCAGCCTTGCTTGACCCACAGAAATGCTATTGTTTCTGTATTGTTCCAAAGTCGGAAGTTGTATGTGTTTAATACATTCTTCGGTTTCGGTGAGGAGAGAATAGTGTTATGTAAACAAGAAGAGGAAACGAAAACTAGGCTTTAATCTACTTTATTGCGGAAGTTGACATCGCACGGTTTAAAGAAAATTAGAAATTGTTTCAATATAATAATAAAAAATGTGTTAGGAAGGCACTTGGTGTATTTTTGATTTCAGGGTTTTATATAGGCATTTTTAGACTGCGAGTGTGTTGTTAGTTGCATAAATATTTTGTTATAAGCTTTTATAAAAAATGGTTCTGTGTTTCAATTTTGTAACAAATTCTGTGCAATACAATATTTTGAAAAATTTGAAATTTTGTGTGCCAAACCAATGTGCAAAAGCGCAAAACATCTTCTGTAAACTATTAAAAAATAAACATTTTAAATAAGTATTAGAAGTAATTAAATAATAATAATAAAGTAATAAATCATGAAAGAAATATCAATTCCCAAAACTAATTTATTGTTTTAATGTTTAATTAATCATGAAATATTTTTTTGCGTCAGAGATATGTCGTGTTTTATTTCATTTAATAAAAAAGTTGAAATAAGTTGCAATAAAAAAATAAAAACAATTTTTATTATTTTGAAATCGTAGTTGAAACAAAATTCCAATTTAAAAAATAATATTTTCAATAACACATGTAGAATTTTGAATAGAATTTTTAAGTGTCTGAGAAAGCGAAAATAAATGGTACAGTTGGAATTTCAAAGTCTTAAACTTTTTTTTTAAAGGAATTCCAGTTAAAAAATTTTTAATTCAATGTCGAAATTTTTCGTTTAAAAATTGGAAAAAACTCTAAGACGTCACTATTCTTATAGTTATTTATTTTATATTTTTCGTTGAATTTAATTGAAATAAATTGAATGAAAAAAATTGTAGCATACAATTAATTCAAGATTTTATCAGTTATCAGGAGTCGATATTCCATTTTTGAAAGCGAAGTTGAACCACAAAGTTCTAAAAAATACATTTCAAAGTTTGGAAACTCGCATTGATAACTTTTAAACAAAAATATAAATTTGAGGTAAAAACAGTTATGTAAAATTTTAAATTTACAAAAAGTACCTAATTATTTTAAATTTCATTTACCAAAATTTCAAATTTTAAAAGATGAAATTTCGAATTTACAAAGAAAAATTTCAAATTTCAATTAAAACTTAAATTTAAATTGCAAATTAAAGTTAGTACTTTCATATGCAAAAATTTGCAGTTTAAAACTAGAACTTTTTTGATTTCAAATTAAAATTTTGAATTCCAAAACTTAATTTTTTTTAAACTAATCAGCTACTTTATAGGTAAGTTCTTAAAAAATAATTCTCCGAATTGTAAAGTTAAAATTTCTAAACTTAAAAAAATAAATTTCCAAGTTTTAACGAATTTTTATAAATTTCAATTCCACTTTTCTACATCAAAACTTTATGGTTGAAACGGAATTTTAAATATCAAAATCGAAATTAGAAATTTACAAGCTAAAATACTGTTAATAATTTAAACTAAAAAAACCAATTTGATACTTTTACAGCCTTTTTAAACACTCATTTAGGTCCATTACCTGGTTGTTTTTAATAAAATTTTACATAATAATTGAATTTATAGCTGAAAAACGTCTAAAAAAAAACCGGTTGAAAAAACCAAAAATAATACTATTTTTGGGACAATTTAGCAATTTTTGGTCTTGTTTAGCGAAATCAAACTATTTTTTAACTAATTTGGTGATTTGTCGACTTATTTTTAAGAAAGCTTAGGGAAATAATTTGTTACTCAAAAACACTCATTTTTGATCTAATGAGGTTAATTTTCCGGTTGTTTTTAATTTATAGCTGAAAAATGTGCCAAAAAACCGTTGAAAAAAGCAAAAACAATGCTATTTTTGGCGCAATGTATCGATTTTTGGTCGGGCAAAGGCAAAATCAAACAATTTTTTTAAACTAATTTGGTGATTTTTTGATTTATTTTTAAGAAAGTTTAGCGAGTTTCGGGCTGAACAACGTGTAAAAGATTTTAAAAATATGAGATATTTTGTGTTTCGGATTAATTTTGACAAACTTTCTTTAAAAAAAAAGTTAAATTAAGCAAAAACAAGACATAATTTATCAGTTCTGGTTTAAAACAGTATTTGAGATTTTCAAACTAAAAATTTAATTCCAAGCTTGACATTTCAAGATGTTAAAAAAACAAATTCATTTTACAAGTCAGAGTTTTTAGTTTAAAATTCCTTGTTCTAAAGTGGAAATTTCGAATTTTAAAAGTCAAACTAAAAAATATTGCTTTTACAAATTAGCTTTCAGATTTTAAATTCTGAGAAATAGTCCAAATTGTTCTCATACACAATGGGTGTAATAAAAAAACTACAAACTACTTATTTGTTATTATTATTTACTATTTATTTTTTGTTAAATTTAGTTTAACCCGAGGGGCCGTTAACTTGAACAACTAATCCCAATTCCAAAAAAAATTCCAGTAATTCCAACGAATGATTTGTAATTCCATTCTTTTAATTTCCGTAGTTCCAAGTTAATTTTTGTAATTACAAAGTAATTTCTGTTATTCTAAAAAGAATTCCAGTAATTCACAAATAATTTAAGTAATTTCAAACAATCCAAAGAATTTTAATTCGAAGCAGTTTCGATTAATTTAAGTTAATAGTCATTCGGTTCAAACAAATTAAAAAAAATAAAATAAAATAAAATAAAAATAATGATCTGGTGTGATTATTGTGAATGTTTCTCGCATTGTTGGTGGCCTAATTTCGTGTTGACTATTCCGGAAACAGCGTCGTATCTAAAAGGGATGATTAGGAAAGTGACCTTACTTCACCGCTCAAAACTTTCTCATTGAAAAATGTCAAAAATTCCACTCGAAAATAATCGATTAAGTAATAATCCCGCTTACGTATTCATCTAATAAGTGGTCACTTTCTAGGCCCAATAAGTCAATTTCAACTTTTTGACCCTTCAATTGCCGGTCCTCCAATAAAACCCAATTACTCGAGTTAAAATCGAATAAAAAGCGGTAAGTAGAGGCGTGTCTGAAGCCGACCCTGGCTCGGGTACGTTCGGAAACAAGCCTCTAGCGTTTTACAACCTCACTCATTCAGTAGGTTAGAAACTCGCAAACGAGAAGTGAATGTGTTGCACCGAACTGCGTGGCACAGACGGCGTGTTATGTTACAAATTCTGACACAAAATGAGCAAAATTATCGGCGGAATTGAAGGGTGAGTCCATCGCTAAGAAAATTGAAATTTTGAAAAAAAATTAGAGTGCGTTCCAAAACTGCCCGTTTTCAGGGGTGCAACACATTCCAACATCATCCTCCTGGACTCTTCCGGTACGGTGTTGGCGAGCGCTCCGGGCCCCGGAACCAACCACCACTTGACCGGATCCGCGGAATGCCAGAAACGCATCGCCGATATGGTCAATTCGGCCAAACTCAAAGCCAAAATGGGCTTCCATCAACCACTAGATGCTTTGGTGAGTGGTGGGTCAACGTAATGAAACTGTGTCGGGTTATCACAATTGATTCAAATGAGTTTACGATTATTTTATAGCTAGGGCTGCGAATTTAGCCAAATTTTGTTTGCTTTACTCGAGTAGCTCTTATCGAATGTTTTTGAATGTTGCGAACGCGATTATTAATTTTTATTGACATGGGGGTTTAATTACGAGCGGTGTGGTTTAATTTCGCTCAATTATTGCGAAATAAAGATAAAATTGTGTTAAATACAATGGATTAAAATGATGTATTTATTGATTATAGATTTTTGTAATCTCCTGTTTAGTTAAAAGAAATTGTATTTTAAATAGCGATTTTAATTCCAGGTTTTATCGCACCTGACGTCATTTATTTCTCATTAATAAGGTATTTTATCAAGATATAATATTACTGAAATTTTCCAAACCACTCCAAAATTCATTACTTTGTTTTTGTGACGTTGCGTTGGTTTGTTTTACTTTCAAAAATTGCAACCAATTTATGCGTACACATAAATTATTATAAATGATCATTGAATAGTTGATTACTTTGTAAATAGGTAGCTTCTATTTAAAGATAAGAAAAATGTACAATAAAATACGATTTCAAGTTTTATCAAACATTTTTTTTTGTTTTATTAAAATGGCATGGTTTTTTAAGTCAAAATAACAAATTCTATCTATTTTAATTTTTTAAATTCTGAATTTTATTAACATAAATGTTTTGTTACCACATATGCCTAAAAATATGGAGAATTATCATTTTCAAGTTTCACTTGAAATTTACTCCACACGACTAAAATTTCTAAAAAAATTGATAGCAGATGGGACAAAGCTCTTAAATTCAACAATTATACTCTTGATTTTTAAAAATTATGTTAATTTTGGTTTTCTTCCGATCAATCCCCGATTATTACCATTAATCAAAGTAGTCTGTAATTAAAAAAAAAGTGATAGTCAGAAGATGGGGGAGACATGTCAGATTTTCAATCTTTCTCATTTTATTTTCCAGTGTTGCCAATTTTAAATCGAAAAATTCCAAACCCCTCTCATAGGGAATTTAATTGAAGACACGACGGTGTACGTAATTCAGAATTGAGTAAATTCCCTGTTTGTTTCAAAAATGTCAATTTTACTGTTTTTTGACATTAAAATCACAGGAGATTTAAATTTTATTTTCTTACTTCGCAATCAAAATTAGTAATCTAAATATATTTTTAATATTTACATAAAAACTGAAAAAATAAATACAGTGTCTTATTAAAGTAAGTATGATTATTTCTAAAAAAAAGAACAAAACTTGAAAAGTTTTTTTTAATTAAAAAAAACGTCTAATATTTAAACTAAGAGTTTGCAACAGCAAATAGTTTATACAAAATAAAATACAGGGTGCGCCAGAGCTGGCACCCCAGAAAAAAATGCCATGTAAGGTAAGTACCAGGAACATGGAAAAAATGTTAAAAAAAAATTCTATTTATAAAAATTTTGAAGTTATGAGAGTTTAAATTTTGCACTTTGACTGTTTATTTCTGTTGGAAAAATAATTTTTCTAGTTTTTTTGCTACAAGCTATTAGAAGAGGAAACAAGGAATTATTATTTATTATATTTATTTGTGGTTTTTATTGGCAAAATTTTTATACCTTTACTGAATAATTATAAAAAAACATATACAAAAACATCAGTATCATAGACACGGGGGGGGGGGGGTGCAATAACAACCCTCTCCCCCCAACCACGGCAAAAATATTTGTATACTTTTTTTAATAGTCAACTTAAAATAATAATAATAAAATAGGTATATATTGAAATGCACAACGAATCAAACAATTACAGCAAGTGATGAAAGTGACCACCATTTTCCAAACAAGACTGATTTTGTGATTTAAATCAAAGTTATCATTTATTTGCTTTTTTTGAATCTTTTTTTTTTTAGTTTTGTTGTTTTATTGAAGAAGTTTATAAATTTGTTTATTTCGTTTTTATTATTCTTATTTATTATACTTAATTGTTTATCTAATAAGTTTTTTATTTGATCATTGTAGATTCTACAATCATAATCTTTAAGTTTTTTTTTGTGAAATTAAAATTAAATTAAAATGTACCAAAATACGAGTATTTGTTTTAACGAGTGTAATAAATAGTAATAATGATTCAATATTTTATAATTAACTGATAATTTATTTGAAGTGGGTTTTGTGATAAAGTTTTATAAGGATAACGGTGACATTGAATTTGTTAGGACTTTGTTTTATCAATTCTCAGTTATTTTTTTATAATCTGGGTGCCAAAACTTGGTATAACTTTAATCAAGGAACGTGAAAATGGGTGACCTTGAAATTGTACTCGTAGTAAAAATGGCACGTGACACGAATTTCCAAAGCGGAAAATTTAAAATAAATGTCTTCTGCTTTATATTTAGCAACAAAAGCGAGATTTTATCACTTGTGATACGCTATCAAGGAATTTTCCTCAAAAACATTTACGTACTCGAGTTTCAACAATTTCCTCAAGTATTATAGAATAAATTTAATAGGGGTTGAGTTTGAGCGGCTGCGAGCAGGAGGACACCAACCAGGAGTTGTTGAAAGGCCTCCAGGAGTCCTACCCCAACTTGAGCAAAAGCTACTCCATCGGGAGCGACACCCATGGCTCCGTAGCCACCACCTCCAATTGTGGAGGCATCACTTGCATCGCAGGTACCGGCTCCAACACCCTCCTCATTAACCCCGACGGCACGAGCTTCCAATGCGGGGGTTGGGGGAACCTCCTCGGTGACGAGGGCAGCGGTAAGTGTTTACTTTCCCTCCAAGAATAGAAATAATTGCAACCTTGGACAATTCCAGCCTGGAAAATCGCACACAGATCGATAAAATACTGTTTTGACGATTTAGACAATTTCAGCGAGCCCCCGTTTCCCACTGAAGTGATTTGGGGGGCGGTTAAGGAGCATTTCAAGATCCAGACGCAACCCGAAATTTTGGACTACTTCTATACGAATTTCGACAAGGCTTTTATAGCTTCCCTGTGCAAAAAAATCGCAGAATTGGCCAATAATGGCGATAAATTGTCGCAGTATGTGTTTGAGGAGGCGGGGATGCACCTAGCGAGAGGTATAGCAGCGGTGGTGTCAAAGGCGGCGCCGGAATTGGTCGAGAGGGAGGGAGGAGTCCACATTTTGTGTGTCGGTTCGGTTTGGTTAAGTTGGGATCTGTTAAAACCGGGATTTGTGACTTGGTTGAGGAAACACACTGATATAAGAACGATGTCGCTGATGAGACTGACCAAAAGTATGGCTTTCGGGGCTTGCTACATGGCGGCCGATCAAGCCGGCTTGGAAATCAAGAGGGATTATTCCCAAAACTATACCGTGTTTTATAAATATGACAGGAAATCCGCCTTTTCGGACTAGTCAATTGTAATATAGAAGAATAAAGTCAATTTTAAATCGAACTCTCTTTGGTCATGACCGCCATGTTGGATCCAAAAACGCGGGGAATTTGAAATTTGCTAAAATAGGATATGATTAAACGCAAAAACCAGGGATGAGTGCCTTGAAATTTTAACTGAGTTCGATTTGTATGATTTTTTAAATGTGTATAAAGATGTGTATATTTTTTATTGTTTTGTTGCTGATATTTTATTTTATTCTTGCTTAGTTCCTCTATGTACATATAGTTTTTAATCAAATAAAAAAGTCAGTGTTCGTATTTAGTCTCTTATTATTTCTTCACATTTCATTGACAATTCTAAAAAATATTTATTTTAACCTTTTTTAATTTTTACAAATATTTTTTAGTATTATCTATTTGTGTTTTTGTCTTTTATTTAAAATAAACATGCTGACAGAATTTTAAAGTCAGTGTCAAATCTTTATGTACGGGGTGATTCTCGGAAGATGACAAATTATCAAAATATGTACATAATATTACTAAAATAAATTAATTAATAATAATAATTGATGTACATAATTATATATGAAACGTATTTTGTGTTGTATTTTATTTTTGCAAAATTTATTTATTTTTGTCAACTTACGTATTTTAAAATATGAGACAATAATGAAATTTTTTGTCGTATCAAGAATCAAGATACGCAAGCGTTTAATTAATTTTTGATCAAAGTGGGTAAGGTATTCAGAAGATATGAGACAAATTAATTTTCATATCTTTTGTCTCTGTTTTTCAATGTTGCCAATTTAATTTAGTGACAAAGGTCACTTTGACTAGAAATTTATTTAGGAACAGAGTATTTTTTTAATAAAAATTAACGTTAAGTTATTGAATTTATTCAAAATTTAGATTTACAAAATTAAGAAAAAAAAATTCGAAAGATGTCACAATTACATAAATGAAAACATTCATTAATTTATTTTTGTTCTAAATTTACATTTTACCAAAAAAGTAAATAATTGTTTTTATTAGCTTTCCTTTCGTATTTTACACTCTGCATTGGTTATTACTAAGGCTCGGATTATATGCACGAAAAAATCGTAAAATATGCGCATATATATGCACGTATTTTCACAAAAATATGCACAAAATATTAAGAAATATGCTCCAATATATACCAAATATTCATCGATATACAAAATTTTGAACAATAAAAAGTCAAAGGTATTTATTTTTTGAAAAAACTAATTGATGAATTATAAAGTTCTATAAAAATGTGATGTTTTATCAAAAATAAAATTTTTTGAGTTGTTATTTTGTTTTTTAGTTTTACAAAAATATTAATTATTTATTTATTTTTTTTATTATTTTTTTAAATGGGGACCCACCAAAAAACATTTTTTTCATGAAGGTTATGATCTAAGGGATTACAACTATCTGCTTTGTATTAAATTATTTTTTTACAGACCTATATCGCAATTTAGACGGGAAAAATCGAATAATTCAAAAACAAAGCAAAATTTTGTTCTTAAAATAAGATCATTTCTTATATTACTTTAATTTATATTAATTATTATTTTTTGGAAACAAATGATTGAAAAAAAAATCGCTTGGTTCAATACAATTTAAAAAGGAAATACTCAGCAGGGTATTAATTTTTTGAGTTTGGCTTACCGGTTGTTTTCTCTTTAAAATATTTTGTAATCGGATCATTTTTCATAAACTGTCCAATTTTTAACTTGAACTGAAATTTTTAGTCGGAAATTAGTGATTTGAAGAAAATTTGCACAAATATGCAATATTTCCTAAAATATGTACCAAGTTGCCAAAATATGCATTTTTTATTTGGCTTATTTTAATAAAAAAACATTAGATATGCATAGAAAACTTACAATGTTGTTGATACTCGTATACCTCTTAATAACAAATATGCATTTTGCATATAATCCGAGCCTTAGTTATTACTTTTTAGTGACATATTTTTCAGCAACAGCACTTTTTAAATCAACTGCTTGTTTATATTTTCCGAATATAAAAGACCATTTTTTAGAGTTTACTTTCCATAAGTAAAAAAACATCAAAAACGTAGTTTTCTTGAGTGAAAATTTTTTTCAGAGTTATTCTTTTTTATTTTTTGCTTTTTTTTTATGATATTATTTATATTTTTATTAGTTGTTACAAGTATAAAAAGTGTATTAATATGCCTTTAAAAATTGCTCTGTGTTTATAATTTATTATAATTGACAAATAATAATATTAAGAATAAAGAAGCGTCACTGATATGGATTTCAGTGATTATTATGATTATTATTCTGTATTAGATAAAGGGTCAAGGCCAACTTTTTATTTTATCAATCATTATTTTGAAAATTACTCGTCAAAAATTATAAATAAGTTTACTTTTTTTAGATATATCTGGAAATTGCATAACGAAAAGAATTAAAAAAAAACAACAGAAAACAAAATGAGAACAAACTACAGTGTGGCCGCGTGAAAATTATACAGAGTGACTTTGAGACACATATGTGCAAATTTTTTAACAGGCGATAGTATAGTTCAAAATGAGTCAAAACAACTCAACTTGTCTGATCCGAATGTTTATAGTTTCTGAGATATAGAGGGTGAAACTTCCACATTGGCGTCGAAAAAATATCAAAATAATGCAACAGAACCGAATTTGGAACTTTTTGAGTATTTTACCCAAAGTTTATATTGCTATTAATAGTAATCGGTTAGATTTGAGGTAATAAAACTGGGTGACATCTTCTACAGAAAAAAAATGATTCAAAATTTTTACCGTTTTATGATTATTTTTTTTTATTATTTCTATATTTTTATTCATTATGTTGAAAATAATAAACAATTTTAACAAAAGACGTTTATTGATATGAATTAATAATAATTATCGAAGTCAAAATGTGAAAATAAAATTAGAAAAGAAACGACATTTGTAAAAAATAATAATCGACTATTATTGCAATAGTGGGGAATACATATTGGCACGACAGAGTAGGTCTTTTGCACGGCAAAAATAGTTAAACCAACAACAAATAAAATATTTCAGAACGATAGAAAACTAAAATGCACGACAAAATAAGGCAATGCAATGAGACACTGAATTATTATTAATTATTAATTTGTATACTAATTTATTTAAAATTCTTGCACAAGGGCTATACATTTTGTGCAATATTTTTTTTTGTTATTTTACCCTTTTCCGTCGTGCCGATAAATGACCCTGTAAAAATTGGTAAAGTCTGTTTTTTCTTTAAATGGGAATTACCAAGTCAAAATTTTGATGAAAAAATTGGTAACAGCTTATCTCCATAGCCACAAATTTTGTTTGTTTTTGTCCCAAGAAATTTTGTTAAAAAATTATGGTTATTTTCATGTTGTAATGAGTCAAAATTTTAACTTTTATGAATCTTGTGTGCTTGTTTGCTCTTTGTAAGTCTTTATAATCGAATACCTGAAGACTACCAAATGTCCAAAGCACTGTAAGTAAGTACAGTGTTGTGAACAAAAATGAGCTTCTTACTACAGAAACTTAATAAAAAATGGTGTCAATATAGAAAAAGGTTATTTTGCAAAAGGTTTATGAAGATCGGCAATTAATTTTGTGTAATTTATTGAAATGAGTTCAAAGTTCCTTCGGCTTTAGTTTCAAAATTGTTACTTTTTCAACTCCTTCTTCAAAAACGGTGCAACTAATTTTAGAACCACTAATTTAATTTTATTCTTTCTCTTTGATGTTTACGTTGTATTGTCATCAATTTCTTACTAAAAATTAGATAATGGTTAGCAAACCTGCATTAGAAATTCCGTCTATTTTTTAGTGTTGGTCTTTTTCTGACTTCTGCTTGCACACTTTTCGTCTTCAAATTTCCAAAATCTGTTCGCGGGACTTAATTTGTTTCCGTTTTTGTGTTTTCGTTTCTAATTTTTTTTAACTGTCGTTTAATGAGATTTTTTTCTGAAATTAAATCAAAAACCGGAACTGCCAACTTCCTTCATAAAAATTACCATGAATAAATTTGTTAGGGGTACCAACACTAAGACTGTTTGAAATTTCCATTTAATAAAAAAACAGACTTAGCTACAGTATGAGGCGATTGGCATCAAGTATCGAATAAAAAATGAGTGTTCGTAACATTGTTTATTTTTCATGCATACAAACATTTATTGTCGATGTAGGCATAAGTAATCGTTGGTCTCTTTCGCACTCACTACCTACAAACTGGCCGTTTTCGCTTTGCCCACGACTACCAACAGCTGCTGAAGAGTGATAGTTATGCTGTTGGTGGCCTTATGGAACCAAAGCGGCTTGTTCTTCCAATAAATAAATACCAAATAAACTGGTACCGATGTCAAAATCATCAACATGCCGATGCCGGTTTCGACAGGACTAGCGACCATGGGTACGGCCGTCACGAAAATGGTGGCGAGTAAGTAGATGATGGGCCAGATTAAGTTCACTTTGATGGGTCGTTCCAGCTCGGGATGGGTCCAGCGCAACCATGGGACGCACAAAACGGACACTCCAATACTCAACTACGGAAAAATTAAAATTGAGTGAGACAATAATTGCTTTTGTTATTGCGTTTCATACCCATGTGGCGAAGCCGACGTAGTTTATTAAAGCGAAAATGTCTGATACTGTGAGATAGAGCATCGATAACAGCGCCTGCAAATTAAATTCATTTTATAGGAAATCGTTGCGACGATAACTCTATTTATTTTGGCGAAAATGGGTTTTAAATGGGAAGGAGTTGCGAAATTGTAAATAACGATACGAGTTTTGCGACGGGTCTGGTTGTTTTATTTTTAAATTAGTTTATTGTCACCTTTTAACTCGACAAAGAAGCAATCGTCCTAATTTGATTATCTCAATTAGGTGGAGATTATGTCATCACTTTGTGTATACATACAAGGTGATTCTTTTAGAGCCTACATTAGAAACTTTTTAACTTCTAATGCAGATAATAATTTGAAACTTTGTACACAACCCAAGTCGACTAGTCTAAGTTCAATTAAATTATTTTCAAAATGGCTGAACTTCCGGAACTACGAGAAATTGGCGCCAACTTTGAAATTTTAAATGGTACCCACTTAATTTTATTACATTGTTGAATTCTCGTCTTTAAACTAAGTAAAATGTACCTAGTTGTTAGTACCTATCTGTCATAGTTTTTGACATATGTCAATTTTTTGGTCAAAATTTTCACTTGCAGGGGTTCATTCAAAACATCACAGCTCTTGAACCCTTTGCGATAAGTGAATATTTTTTTTTTGCATTCGATAACCAAAGGTTCGAAAAGTTTTCTAGAATTTTCAAAATTATCAACTGTCAAATTGCAAGGCTAGTATGATTTTTTGAAAATGATCATTACCAAACCGCTATAACTCAGTTTTTTCAAATGAAATGACTCTATTTTCTCAACGGCAATTAAAAGTACATTAATTTGTAGAGGGACTTTTATCAACATGTCCTATACCTATTTCTTACAGTTTTTGAAATAATCACGAAAAACATGTTATAATTTTTATTTTTATAGTTAATCACATTGGCTTTGAAAAAATACAATAAAGATATACCATAATTAATACAGATGTTCGATATGTTTACCATTTTTAAACATTCCAAAACTCGATAGTGAACTGATTGATTGGCTTCCATTATTTCATTTGATTGAAAATTATTAAATGCCGCCTCAATCCTTGCCTCAATTCTTCGTAATTCCGAATGGGTGTTGTGTAGACTAATAAATCTTTAATACGTATTGATCATTTTCCAAAGCCTACGTGATTGACTATAAAAATAAAAAACAAAAACATGTTTTTCGTGATTATTTTAGAAACTGTAAGAGATGGGTATAGGACATGTTGATAAAAGTCCTTTTTTTTTTTTTTTCGCTTGCCGTTGAGAAAATTATAGCTGTTTAATCATATAAGCTTTGCAATTTGACAGTTGACAATTTTGAAAATTTAGGAAACTTTTCGGACGTTTGGTTATCGAATACAAAAAAATTGTTGACTTATCGCAAACGGTTCAAGAGCTGTGATGTTTTTAATAAACCTCTGCAAATGAAAATTTTGAGCAAAAAATTCACATATGTCAAAAACTATGACAGATAAGTTCTAATAACTAGATACATTTTACTCAGTTTGGAGAGGAGAATTCAAAAATGCAATCAAAATAAGTGGTTACCATTTAAAATTTCAAAGTTGGCGCCAATTTCTCGTAGTTCCGGAAGTTCAGCCATTTTTAAAATAATTTAATTGAACTTAGACTGGTCGATTTGAGATGTGTACCAAATTTTAAATTTCTATCTGCATTAGAAGTTAAAAAGTTTCTAATATAGGCCCTAAAAGAATCACCTTGTATAACAACTAAATTACATCGTTTAAAAAATGTTTGGGTACACAGATTTTTTTCGAATTAGAAGAGAAAACTACAGAAATCCTTTTTTTTATATATTACCAAAAATGATTGAAAAAGTCTTAAAAGGGAATGAGTGAGTTGATCGTAGTAAGCTATGAACAAACACAGCTTTCTTGATTTTTGTAAAAAATACACACAAGTTAAAAACATTTATTTTTGAATGAAGATAAATCTAAATTGTTAATAAAATCATGTGTAAGCAGATAACAAACAGCAATTTAAATAATATTTGTTTTACGATTTGGTATAACAAAAAATATGAATGCTTGTATATTTGGTTGCCTATAAACATCCATTAAAAGATATTGTTTCGAAAATGCAAAAAGGAGTATTAACAAAATATTACTTTAAAATTTTGTTTTTTTCTTTATTAGTCATTGTCTATTAACAACCAAAAAAACTGTCTAAAACGAGTAAGATCATAGTTTCTTTTTTTTTTTAATTTTAATTCCAGTTTTTAAACAATTATTTTTATAAAATAATATATGGAGTAGCTAAATAATTTTAGAACGGTTTAACAAAGCACGTTGAAATTGGGGAAGCAGTTTATTTATTTTCTGGTCAAAATTCAGGCGGCAAAAAGATAACGATAAAGACAACATTTCCAAGGCTAAAAAAGATTACATTTTTCAAAATTTAATTGGTTCGATATTTTTTTTAAGTTTCGATTAAAATAAGGTATGCATGTGTTATATCACAGAACTCAAAAAATGCTCTTCTTAAAAATATTAAATTTGACCCTTAAAAAAATAGAGCAAATCGAGATAGAAGTATAAAAAACATCTGAGGCGATGGAATTTAAATACTTTTACATGTATATCAAATTTTAATAAGTTTTGATGAATAGTTTTTATAATATTTAACTGTATTCATACTTTTTAGCGACTCTGTATATTTCTTTGTAACGTTTCTAAAATAATAGTTACTGTTGTTTGAGGTCAAAAAATCACTTTTGGCCGAGGTGCACACAACGTTTTTTAGGTGATGTTTAAAAAAATAAAAATTTGGTCATATTGTAAGTGGAAGATAAAATTTCAATGTCAAACCTACGAATTAAATTGTTCATTAAAATTTTTGATTAACAAGGGAAACTAGTTTCGGCAAGACATCTTACCATCTTCAGTCTGAAAAAACTAAACAAATTCATAAGAAACCGTTCCTATTTATTAAAAAGAAACTTACCTAATTTAAAACAAATTACAATTTAATCAAAAAAATTTATTTTGGATTTGACTTTAAAATTTTACCTTCCACTTACAATAAGAAAATGAAGCCCATTTTG